TGTTCTACAAGGAGCCATATAGTTGTGGGCAGCGACCCCAGTCCATCGTCTACCCTCGGCCGATGCAATTCCCACCGGGAACGGCTGGAACACTAGCAGAGATGGTAGAAGAGCAACTTCGAGTAGGATAACGATTTTCATATAGGACACGCATGATGACACTCAAGCATCATCAGAGTGAGACTTTTTACAAGACCTGATTAATGTCTAGGTACAAATTACGTCACTCACAGTGATGACGCCAAACTAATATGGAATGAGACGTATTGTGAATTTTCAAGAAAGAAAGTATGACAGATTTGCGGTCAAATAGCATTATTAGGAAAGTTCTTGTGACTCTGACCCACCTTTTGCAGAGGAGATCCTGGCGACCACTGTATAAACGAACATCCAAAAGCGGCGTGCATGTTCTGGGTTTCTGGATTTTGTCCTTGTCTGTGGGCGATCCGGCATGTTGTCGTCCGGGCGGACGCAGAGACAGCCAGGGCAAGTGTGAGGATAAAGTCATCGAAAATATGGACGACAACTTTTGGTTTTTCAACCCCTAGAGGGTGAAATTCTTGAACTAATGGACAGTTTCTGCAGCGCATTTTCGACGTTAATGCCAACCAAGTAGAAGGACAGGGAAATTGGAAAGCGGATCTACCCCGTGCGAGCAACCATGCCTGGATGCTAAAAAGATTCTGGCGTAGGGACTTTGAGTATGATCCAGGTGTTAAGAAGATAGCTCGGTGCCCACCGTTCGGATGTGCCCAGTCTAAAGTGGTGCTCACTCTAACTGCCTGAGAATCGTTCCTGATGTTGCGCCTCCAACGTTAAATCCATGCTAATTAAGTAGATACTGTGATTCAGTGCGGTATTTCTGGACGATCGAAACGAAACGCATTCAGGAGCCAGCATTCTGGCAGGACTGAAATATCTGGAGGTTGTGTTGTACAATGGACAAATTTAAAACCCCCATTAGGTACTCCTCCCTGGTCATGAACGCATTGTGGAATCTCAGTTAACATTTCATGAAATCGGTCACTGACTGTGTGCCAGTTTTG